GAGGGAAATCTAGTCAAAACCTCAACAAAGTTTCAATGAAATCCTTCTCCATCAAATTCAACCGACGGAATTAACACAAGAAATCAATTGAAATGATCTCGACAAGTTTTAGTACCTAATCACTCCATCAGAAAGTGTGGAGGAGCGAGTTGCACTTTGCACGATAACTTTATGATTTCTATGCACTTTTCATTTCTCAGTAAAGTATGATCGGTACCAAGAGAGAGCTGGATAATGAAATTGTTTCAAAAACTTGCATTTGTTGGCCCAAAGCATCACAGAGGTTGGGCTTCGGTGGAAGCTGCGGTAGAGGCAAAGTTAAAGCCCATCAGCTTCTGTCCTTCTCAAGGATACCCACTTTGGTGGCATTCGCGTGCTTTAACATGGTAAAATGAATATCATACTTCGTACGATGGCATGGTCAGATCACGACAATGTCTTCTCATGGCAAGAAAAACAAGAACGAACGATGCTGGTTGCTGTATTTCGTGCCCAGGAGATTGCTAGCTGTGTTTGAAAGGGCTTGTGCAGCTCTTCGCTGGATATGTGGCATAGCAATAGGCATTAAGAACATTAAGAAATGCTTGATTTTTGAAATAAGCCAAGCCATGAAGCAGCTCGAGACAGACAACATGGTTGGTTAGTGTCAATGAGCAGGTTCCTTTTCTTGGACTCTCTAGTCAAAACAGAGCATAGGCCTTCGTTGCATTCAAAAAACAAGAAAGCTCTTTTAATCTCATTCGCTGTCAATAAATTGAGAAAGATTTTGTTGGTAACGCCTTTTGGGTGCCAAGCCGGCCGTCCAACGTTACCATCAACAACTCACCCTGTCATGTAGTGATATTAATGAACACCCTTTTACGATCCTTCCATGTCTCTGTCATTTCCACCCCTTCCTCTCTTCTCTCTCTGCTACCGTCCGAAACCCCTGCTCTAATCTGATCGAAGATGAACGATTTGCTCACGGTAATCCTGGAGCTCTTCACTCTGATTATGCTTCCTTTTGTTGAACGTTGGTAAATTACTTCGTCGTGTTCAATCTATGATCAATTTCCATTTTTGTTTGTTTTATTGCCTTTTGCTTTCTTTTTTTTGGGTTTTTTTTAAGAGTTCTCATTGATGGTATCATACGCATTTAGTTGCTATAACTTTTCCTGTGTCCACTGTCCAACTTGCCACCTTCCTCATGTTGTGAGAGGTTTGTTGGAAAGAGTTTGTCAATTTCAAGTGCCATAAAATTCTTGTGTCATGGGTTTTGCAAGATTTGATGTTTTAAGAAAATTTCTCACTTGAAATCACTGACACCGCGAATACCTTTCTCTGTTTTTAATACAGAATCTGAGAGTGAGCTAGTACTGATTTCCTTGCTTTATGTTCTGGTATAGGACTCCTTCGTAAGTGATGCAAAAATTCAACCTCCATCGGAGGGAGATGTCGAAATGGGCGCTCGGTTGCCAAGGAGCAACTCTGACATGGGACTCGAAGCTTTTAATAAGCAGGTTTTCATACTTGACCGTTTAAGTTTCTCACACAGTGCACATGTATAAGCAGGAAATTAATGTGATAGGAGCTTTACATGGTTCGAATTGTTTCAGTTTCACATATACTTTTCACCCTCCTATTTCTGTTCTGGGATTGGATAGTGGAAAAAGTAATTCCTGGAGAAAAGAAAAAAGCGTGCCGATCGTATCACTTGCCAAAGTTGCCATCAGGCTCAGAATCATGATTCTCAAGCTGGTCTTGGTCTCTAGTCCAGTTCACTCTGTATTGCTGATATTTTTGTCTCAACATGAACCAACAGATATTCTCTTCTTTGTATTTGTATTTCAGATTCAAGAGGTTGAAAAACAAGTGCATAAGCTCTCTAGCCTCCTCAAGAAGCTGAAGGTATGTTTAGTGTACCTTGATATATGGAGTTAATGTTTTGAAATTTTCGCGTCTCATCGATAAAGCGAGAGATAGTATCTTTGACAACTATTTGGCCCTGAACTAGGGTAGATGTTGTAGTTGATCATTGTAAATAAAGGTTCCTCATACTTTTTTAATCCATAAGTATGTGTAGAGCATCTATCCTCTTACCTAACGTAGATGTAGTATGTGATGATCATTAGCACTTCATTTGGCTATCAGTTTCTCAAGCTCTCAGCCAAGACACATGCTGAGGCTATGTGAGAATTTGAGGAAGAAAGGTTACGGGGAAGTTTGCTTTAGAATGCTTTCCTTCTCATACACTGAAAAATAGCTTATAAAAAGTTCAGTGGCATGCAATTACAATTTTGCAATTAAACCTTAAACATTTCCGACATCCATAGAATTCCTCAGGGTGCTATGGATAGCATGCATTAGCATATTGTTTGCAATCAGGGAGGGCTTCGAATCAAATTACATTATGCACAACTGATCTCAGGGATTTGCATCACTGTAATGTTTCAGTTGACTATACTTGCTTGATTTGAACATAAAACAGGATTCTAACGAGGAGTCAAAAACTGTTACAAAAGCCTCTGCTATGAAAGGTAATCGTCTCATTATGTGGTTGGGGTGCTCCGCAGCTAAATCGTGGATGGAAATTCTTTAGCTTTGAACAACACCAGAGGGTTGAATGATTTTGATAATTTGATCTGAACTTCCAGTTTCACCTGACTTGTAACGAGAGTGAAATGTCTAACTTCTCAGGAATCAAAAAGCAGATGGAGAGAGATGTGGACGAAGTGGGGAAGATTGCGCGAAATGTGAAAACAAAACTTGAAGCAATAAACAAAGAGGTACGATTCTACTTACTCTCTTTATGGGCTACAATTCTCTCTAAAGCTCATTAACACATTTACATTTTTCATTTCAGAACTTAGCAAATCGGAAGAAACCTGGATGTGAGAAGGGAACAGGAGTTGATAGATCAAGGATGAACATGACAAAGTGTGTTGCCGGTAGCAAGCAGAGCTTACATTTGTCCCTATTGTTCAAAACTTGTGTCTGATGGATTAACCAATGGTTTTGTTGTTGCAGTGCATTAACGAAGAAATTCAAGGAGCTGATGACAGAGTTTCAGGTCTCGTTTTCATTAAACCTGTCTATTGTAGCCAGTCTCTGGCATCACCTTCTCATGTAAGATGTATGCTTTCAGACACTTAGACAAAAGATTCAGGATGAGTATCGAGAAGTTCTTGAGAGAAGGGTGATCACGGGTAAGAATCTTCAAGCACTCATATTGTCAAATCTTCGTAATGACAGATATAAGTCACAGCTTTAAGTAGCGGTTCCCTTATACCAATATATGTTATGGTAAATAATGACACCATTTTAACCTCTTTGGCCCTTCATCACTGGGTAGTCACGGGAACCAGACCAGATGAAGAGGTGAGCCTGATTCCTTATGTTCGGATTTGAGTTCTCTCTCTATGGATCACGCTTTAATTGGCTAAATCTAATGTGCTGTGTTAGACAATCGACCGCCTAATAGAAACAGGAGATGGCGAGCAAATCTTCCAGAAAGCAATTGAAGAAATGGGACGAGGACAGGTATGTCTTGCAAATCCACCTTGGGTCTGAGCAAATACAATATGATCATTTACAGTTTCCCTTGAAGCAAACTCATGTAGGCTTAAGATTTCCATATTTTTCACAACTGAATGTTATTGGCCACGACTCTCTAGGTCCTGAATACACTAGAAGAAATTCAGGAGCGGCATGATGCGGTACAGGAAATCGAGAAAAAGCTACTTGACTTGCATCAGGTATTTTCTTCTCTAAGAACTAAGCGAGGACACTCCAGGTCGATGTGTATTCTCTAACGTTAGTTCCTCTGGTGTTGTCAGATTTACTTGGACATGGCAGTCCTAGTAGAAGCCCAAGGCGAGATCCTAGACAACATTGAGAGTCAGGTTTGCTGCTTCTTCCTGTGTGCTGGAACTGTAACTCACACTCTATGCTATGAAATGTTGCTGCTCGTTGGCAATTTTAATTTAGACTTTGTGAAGTATGAATCTGCAATGATTGATGTCTACTTAGAGGTAGACTGCGCTCCATAGAACATTATCGATAATGAAGGAAAGCAACACTAAGAAAAAAGATCAAAATTGAGCACATTTTCTCCATGCCGTGTCAAAATCTTCCCATACTTAAGAGTTTGAGCAACAAATTTATAGTAATGTAGCTAAGATGCAGAAAAACAATAAAGGGACAGACTAATTTGGCTGCAGAGGGTGATCGTTAATGAATCTGTTTGATTTACTTACCGTGTTTGTTTTGTGACAATTTATAGTTTTAGAGAGAATGATTCCATAACGCGGTATGACAGCACAAGTCATTAGTTCGAATTCTGACATGCAGTCTTGCTGATATTTGGCTTGTTTTCCTACTATTTAACTCCTGCCTTCGGTTTGTTGGCTTGATGGGATCACATTCGCAAAAAATTTGAACTCCTAACTTACAAGTGAAGGGAAGTGCTAATGCGTGTACCCAATAGCGATTAATGCTACGGCGCTTAGTAGATCTATTTGGTGCAGGTGACTAATGCAGTGGACCATGTGAACATGGGCACAGATGCTCTCAACACTGCCAAGAACTTGCAAAAGAAGTCAAGAAAGTGCATGGCTATTGCCATCATCTTGCTCCTAGTCATTGCAATCATCCTCATACTCTCAATCGTAAAGCCATGGAAGAAGTAATTACATCAGAATAATTCAAGCTTTTAATCCTCTGTAAAGGCATAAAGTGATGAAGATGACCAAGTCTTTACAAGGTGCGGTGTGGCAACCTTTTTCTCCCCACTCTGTTCTTTCTTTTTATCAGGACTCTGTTTTGATGGTGTAGATGAAGCTTGTGGAACTGTGCATTATGTTATTGTTGTGCTTTGATATTTTTCCACAACATATAGATGATTTCTTATTCTTTGTGAGCATATATGACTAATGTATACTAGTGCTAAAATAAAAAGCGACTCATTCAAACACTTGAGCAAATTACAAAGACCATATACAGAGTCTGAAGCAGTCCAAGTACGCAAAGTTCAGAAGAGAGCTGAAAAAGATTGTCGACATGCAACATTATGGCCCCAAAAAACAATGCCCAGAATGACTCAATTGACCTAACTGTAAATTATTTCCCACACATTATTATTCTACTCCAGTTCCACGAAATAGAGAAACTGGGCAATGATCCCTCTAAACCCCATTGACAACAGCCACATATAGCTCTCCTACATCCTCGACTTGGCGACCACAACTGCCCCTTCTCTGAGCCCCACTGCCCCCAGCCTCATCCATGATTCTTTGAACTGCTCTTCAGTCATCCTTACATGTCACAAAAGTTCTTATCAGCATGAGAAATGACAATCATGTGAACCGAACCAAATTGAATTGTTAAACACGCTTAATTTTACGATGAAGTGATAATGGAGTTAAAAGGTGTTCATGTTGCCTTCGCCCATAGCAGCTGTGGAGGAGATGCCTCCCTGGACAGTCTTGAGGTACCTATCAAAGAAATTAGCACCAGACCACTTCTGATGAGCCAATGTGTCCACTCCATTGTTCCTCTCCTCTCTCTGAATCCTCTCCACGTAAGCCAGCATTCCTCTCCTTGCGAAATCCTTGGCAAACGTGTCGATCACCAGTGCGTCGGCGTGGAAGCCAGCGAGTGTGATGAACTGCCAGCAAAATCCTAATTTGGCGATCCTTGGGATGAATTCTCTCATCTGCTCATCTGTCATTCCTGAAGCGTCCCAGTTAAACGAGGGAGAGAGATTGTATGCCAACATGGTCTCCGGCTGCATTGACTTCACGCCCTCAGCGAATTTGGTGCACTCCACCAGGTCGGGGCTTGAAGTCTCCATCCAAATGAGATCGCAGTGAGGCGAGAATGCCCATCCTCGAACTATTGCCGCCATAACTGAGCCCCTGAACCTATAGAATCCTTCCCGGGTCCTAGGCAAATCCCAATCCCAGAAGAGATTCTTGAGCCCCAGTCGCTCCACGATCTCACGGCCTTGCTCGTTCGAGAGGCACTTGTCGAAGCTAGAGTGTCCACTCATTCAGCCTCCTCCTCTTCTTGTCCTCCCCGGCGCTCATGTTTTTGATTGCGTCTGTGACGCATTCAGAAAATGTCTTGAGTTGTGCCATGGCTAGCCAATTATCCTCGAGGGCTTGAAGCTCGTGCCCGGTTTTACCTGCTGCCATTGCCTCTGCCAAAAGTGAGACCAAACTCTTCCCTCGGAGGCTTGGGTTGGTGGCACCCAATATAAATTGGTGATCTCTAGTGTCCACATTGGTCTGGATCAAAGTCGCTACAACCGCATCGGTTCTTGCGACCAGGACAGTCTCAATTCCCATAACATCAAACTGCAACCTCGCGGCCACGAGCCGGTTGATGTGTTCGCTCACCGCAACGAGCACTTTACCAGCCATGTGGCCACATTTCTTGGTCACTGAGGATTGGTCTTCAAGGTGGACTCCAGCTGCACCGCGCTCAACAAAAAGCTTGCACAGCTTGACAGTCGCTGTTGTGCCACCAAATCCAGTGTCGCCATCAGCTATGATCGGCTTGAGATAGTCAACATATGGGGTCCTGGCCCTCTCCTCTCGGCTCATGCTCATCCCCGCCTCTCTCTGCTTACGATCATGGTATTGTTGAGCAAAGAAAAGGTGTTTGACCTTGTTCGGGACGGTGTCATAGGGATAGTCAGCGAGGTCCGGCCCCGGTTCATTGGTGGAGGTGTGGGTCGACGAGCACTGCCAACCAGAGACGTAGATCGTGGCCAAGTGCTTGGCCATCATGGTCACTTGCACGGGGTCGAGCGCCCCGAAAGTCCTGGAGGCTGTGCCATTGGCTTGGTGGGTCTTCAGAGTTCTCCAGAGCTTTTTCGCCATCTCATTCGAGCCATAGCTTTGTCTCAGGTTGCCCCGTAGTGACACAACGTCTCTAGCGGTATAGGGTCACCGGGTTAGCTTGAACCTCTCAAAGTTCCACCATGATTGCACCTCAGCAACTTCGGCTTCGAACCTCCCTTCTTCCTCCATTATCTATTGAAAGATTTCGACAATTTTCGTATACATTTAAGAATCTCGAGTGATATTATATGTCAAGCAATTCTTATTAAGACTCAATATATAGTATGCAAAGTTTCGTCGTCATTAGAGAATACAGAATGTATAGAGTTAGAGAGTGGCAAAATGTGGTGTAAATTCTTCACCATCCCTTGAACTGCTTAAAGATAAAACAGTTCTTTTGATAACTATATTATTCGGAAGTCCCGGCATACTTAACTCTAAGAGTTCGGTGCACATCATCATAGAAGTATTCGCATGTGCTACTAATTGTTTGAGGCTATACGCAGATTGACCGTCCTCTTAATTATCTTGTTTAGAACTGATTGGAGAAACATGAAACTTTAACTGCTATTTTTGGTAGCGAGAGATAAAACATCTTAAGAAAATTCCGGGACCGACATAGTCTAACGCTTGACCATTTAAAGATGAGAATATATATGAATGCTTCCTTTTACTTTAGCGAAATGATATAAAATCCTGAAAAAAAAAAACTTCATGATATTAGAGCAGAGGCAAGCAAGGGAAGGCCAATGCTCTCCCGAAATTTTATAGTAAACCTCTGAGAGGAACGACAATTTTTGTGCATCAGATAGCTGTCCACGAGGAAACAACGACTTAATAACAGTACAAAACACAAAAGTTCAAATGACAAAAACTGCACATAACAGGTTGCTGTGAGAACAAATTGAAGTCCTTTTTAGCAATCTTAATTGTAATATGCACTCTTCCAAATATCTAAGAGATGAGCTTGAGAGAGAGCACATGCATGCGCTTACAGCAAAGGATGGTGTTCATGAATTTTTATCTTGTGCAGCCAAAGACATTAACATCATAATAATCATCCTGTCATGTCTAACACCGTCAATGCTCTTAACTTTGCACGTAGAGTGTTCTCACACAAAAGTTAAAATGCAGTATTGAGTTAGCACATGTTAGATAACATATGATCTCCATTCTAGCTCATTTTCACTAGAGTGAGCAACCTTAAAGTTCATTATGTGATTTTCTAAGGTCTATTTCTTGCAAATTAAGTCTGATAAGACCCACAAATTGCTTGAACCAACACAATGAAATATCTGCAATTCAACTCAAACCATCGATTACAAAACTCCAAGTGCATGCAAACTGAGTGAAGAAGAAAGACTGAGGAAGACTGGATCATGAAGAAGAGTTAAGTAAGGGCTTACCATGGAAGGCACCGAGAAAGATGCAGCCATGGCTAGAACTTGGTTTGAGCAAGGAAGAACGGGCCAAGTAATAGTACAGTAAAACTATTTAGAGAGATTCATGCAAGAGCTGCCTCAAGTCCCCTCCATATTTATAACAAGAACCGGGGAGGTGTTGATCTCTTCCACCATGTGAAACCAATAAAAATAATAACTTTAACCGTTTTTGAGGATAAGAAAAGAACAAAAACCAAGAAATCTTTGAAGCCCTTACCAAAAAAAACCAAGAAATCTCCACTGCAGTATCTGATTTAAAACTTATCGACAGATTATTATTATTATTGTTAATAAAAAGGGGGGTTCATTATTATCATTGTGATGAAATGGAGTGAAACTTCTCTCTTGGGAGCTGATGTTGCAGGGCACGTAAAAGAAGATGGCCTCGGCTTAACCATCCTGCGCCACCTTGATTGTCTTCTTCCCATCCCAGCAGGATGCCGCCTTTCTCTTTTAATGGCCAACCGATTCGGTTCTCATATTTTCCTCTTTGTTTACAATATTAGGGTTTGATTAACGAGTATCATATACCTAATAAATAGGGACAATGACACAAACAGTCCCTAAACTTTGGCTCAATATGCGATTTGGTCCATGAACTTTTAATTTGTTCAATGTAGTCCCTGAATTTTAGCCTAATATTCAATGTGGTCTTTGAACTTTTAATTTGTTCAATGTGGTCCATGAACTTTTGGTACATGTTCAATTTAGTCCCTGAACTATATGAAAATATACAATATAGTCCATGATCTTGAATTAATAGAAGGACTACATTGACCATTTTTATAAAGTTCATGGACTATATTGAATATGTACAAAAAATTCATGGACCACATTGAACAAAATGAAAGTTCATGGACCACATTGAATATTGGATTAAAGTTCAAAGATTATATTGAACAAATTAAAGGTTTCGGGATTAAATTACACATTGAGTCAAAATTCAGAGATTATTTGTGTCATTTTCCCTAATAAAAACTATCTCAATTGTCACAATTTTGATTTATTTGCATATATTTTTTTATTTCAATGCTTAACGAGAACCTCATTAATATAAGGATCTCATTATGAAGTGCCCATGGCACTCGTTAAGCATACTCACTAAAAAATTCGATTCTCTAAATATTGATTGTGCATATCACGACAACAGTCAGTGCATTGAAAATGAGCACCCCTAAAGTTATTCTTCACAAAACCCTCAACAATATCATACATTTTATGTGTTACTAAACCCTTTTTTACGATTACTTGATGTTTGATGAAGAGTTACTGAATTCAACCCTTCATTAACTGCAAATGCAAAGGTCTTCTTTCAGCTGCACTGCATGTTTGAGCTTCTTCTGCATAACGACGGGTTGGTCAAACCGGCATTATCTTCTCCAGACCACGGTCCTGATTCGCGACTCTTGTGTTCCCAAGAGACTCGAGCTCCGAAGTCGCTCTTATCGTGAGCCGAACCGGCATGCAATGTGCACACCATCTCTATCTCTTTGGCCCGACAAAACGAACCGTCCCTGAAAGAACTCAAGTTATTTTCCCACCTGCCCTCTCAGGATCCGTGATTTTGAGTTTAGAACTTGGTAAACAGAGTGACACATGATCGGCGACGTATCGGTAGTGTGACGACCCAGGCAGTGGTGCGCGGGAAGGAGGGATGGCGGTACTTCTACGCCTAGATCCTCGGACGTGCGTAGGGCGAGGGCGCATCTTTTGTCCTACATCGCCGAGGGGGGGAGTTATTGACTGGTTTATAAGGTTCGGGATTCTCTATCTGTACATATGTGTTTTTTGGGCGAAGCCCAAAGGGACAAAACCGTGAGGGCCCAATGGGGCCCAAAGCGGATAATACGTGTACGGTGGCGGACCCGGGGCTTTACAAGTAGTCATTCATCACGTCAACATATGATGACGACGTGTGAAGTAAACTAGACTCGAAGTGCGTTTTCCTTGGCGAGAAAGCGAGGAAACGACATGTGGTTACCTCTAACTTTCGACATGAAGTTTATTAGGGACCGCCACACGTAGGTTCAGAGAGCATTAGGTGTCGAGGCATTGGTGATTCCAGAGAGTGTCAGACTTGGCCACAACAAATTCAATCCATCCATTGGCCGAGATACTGAGAGAGGAGTTGGACGTTATCTGACGCACTAACAAACGCCCGCTTTAGATCAGTGAAAGCTTCTGTCAATTTTTTGTGCAAACTGCGGGCGATCTTGCATGAATGATCCAAAGGATGACGACAAGATCAGGGTAACCATTTTTCGAGACTCCGGAGGATGACAAGAACCACCTTAAGATAAGCCTTTCTCTGTCCAGACAAGAATATACCTTATCTCTCTCTACCTCTTTTTATCTATGCTGAGTCAAAGCATTAGTGGCACTTCTCAAGGATAGATCATATAAGCCCTATCCTCTCCGATCTCATCAATCTCAACTGCATAATTTGTCCCTCGTCAAATAGAAAAGTTACGAAAAATCGAAAAAGATTTGAAATGAGGACCTCCCACTTGATACTATGTAAAATTTCGTAGAATTATTATCAACAGGCTTAAAAACCCAAACTGAAACTGTTTGATAAAATCGTAATTTAATAAATTTTCCATCGTAGGAAAACGATGGGAAATCATAGTAGAGCAACTTAGAAGAAACACCATCCGGGCTATTCCATGTCTTTGGTTATTTGTCTTATGCGAGTTATACAACGTTCTCTGTTTTGCATGTGAATTCGACCTACTACAAGCGAGGAAAGACGTTAAGGCATGCATTTTGCAGACATTATAGAATGATTTCCCGACGATTCGAGACTTATTATAAAAAATTGGCAAGATGCTCTCGTTGTTTCAGTCTTTTAGATAATGATATCCATGGCTAGTTCCATTTTATTCATCTATTTTGATTGAATTAAGTAAGAAAAATTATTTCTAAGGACGACTGCATGATGCTGATAGCATAAGTTGGGGATGTCCCGAGGACGTTGGATTGATTTTGCACCAAAATAATTCATGAGCAATCATACACTCGTGGATGCAAAAAACTATATTACCAATTTATTGGAAATTTCGAAAATTAATGAAAGGGTTCTTTGGCCGTGGAAAGAGGGGGGTATGGAGGTGGCAGTCGAATCATTTTGGTGGCATTCAAAGTGGGGATGGACACGATTGCGTCAAGGACATGGGCCATAAAATAAAACAAGAAAAAATAAAAGAAAAAGATGCTGCATTATTATTGCAACCGAAGAATAGTTATTATTTTCTTGAAGATAAGGAAAGATCAGATCATTTGACTATGAATTCTCATTTTCAGAACACGATGCATGCATCAATTTCTGAAAATTTGATATTGGCTGGTGAGAAAATATGTATGAAGTGGGGCAAAGGCGGCCACAAATTGAGGAGAGTCTCTTTCTTGGCATATGTGACATAAGGAATATATGGTTGGAATTATGGTGGATGGTGATCCTATGTAGGAATAGCTTTTGAGCATTTCGAGGAGAAATAACTTTTTCCTTTTCAAATCTTTAAAAAAACTTTATTTTTCTTTTCCATTTTCCTTTGGAAATTGTCAACTTGTGTGTGTTTGAATATAATTGGTAGCTATTCTATCCCTATATCTATACAATTGGAAAAATTGTTCAATAAGTTCTATAGTCGGTCAACTTAATTTTGAATCTTACAATTGTACCAATTTAGTTCAAAACCATTATATGATTTATCAATTTAGTTTTTCCTACTAATTTCAGCCAGAAATCGCTAATACCGTCCTACGCGGCACGGGCGGCGTCGACGTAGATAATTTTGACAATTTTTTAATTTTTTGAATTTTTCTTCTTTTTTGGGAAAAAGTAACAAATAACCCCAAATTACGCCTAGTTTGATACATTTACCCTAAACTTTTTTTTTGTGATAAAAAAAATTCCAAACTATGTCCATTGGGACACATTTATCCTAAACTTTTTCTGGTGACATAAAAACTACAAATTTGTACTTATGTGACACATTTACCTTTCGCCAATGTTTCATTAAATTTATTTTATTTTATTTTACTTAAATCACGCATGTGTCATTTTAATACTATTTACTTTTTGGTGTTCATGTAGGCAGATTTTTAACGGTTCTCATTATTAGAACTTTGATGGAGGATAATAAGTCACACAAGTACAAGTTTGAGATTTTTGGTGTCATAGAAAAAATATTTAAGATAAATGTGTCACAGTTGGCATAATTTAGGATTTTTTTTTATGGCTTTTGCCATTTCTTTTTTCTTTTTTCCCTTTTTCCCTCCATCGACCTCAAGCAACGATTGCCCTCACCTAAGGCTGGAGAGGGCATTAGGGCCCTCGCCGATGCCTAGTGGAGCGAAAAACGAAAAAAGAAAAAGAAAAAAAGAAAAAAAAGAAGAAAATATTCGGAAAAATTTTAAAAATTAAAAAAATTGTTCATGTCAACGCCAATCGACACTGGTCGCCGGCCATGCCACGTAAGATGGTTGGCGCTAATTAAATTGTCACACCAATTTATACTAAATTTGTACAATAAAAAGGTTTAAGATGAATTGATCTCTGTATAATAAATTTATGATTTTTTGGACTATTTTCCCAATTTTAAAGCAAACTTTAGAATTTGGTATCCACCCTCGTGTTGACGAAATGCCCTTGATTTTTCTGTCCCTGATTATTTTGTTAATATCTATTATTGCAATTAAACTCGTATCACATGTAAAAAAAAAAAAAATTTCTTGACTCCGCTTATATAGTACCTTCCTTCAATTTGACATTCGTGTATGTCACCTAGATGTATATAGTCCTCATCAACCAACTTCACCGGGGTAATTTCAACTGGCCAAAAGTAGGTAGCGTTAACGATGGGATCTTTTACGAAAGGTCGGAGTTTTTTGGGCTCTTAAGGATTCCCAATCAGGACATATAATATCATTTAACCAAGATCAACGATCACGTAGCTGATCAAAGAAGCTGTCTATTTGTGATTCGATGAAGGGCATCTCAATCCCAGCCTAATCTATATGATCAAGGAGGGAAAAGTGTTGGAAAAGTCCTAAATTTATTGCATTTGTGCCAATTTAGTGTCAAACCTTTTGACCTGAAGCCAATTCAGTCATTCCGGCTAATTTTGGCAGGGTATTGTAGACATGGACGCCAGTCGGCTTACGCTGCATGGCTAACCTAATGTGGACAACTTTTAATAATTTTTTTTTGAATTATTTATTTTTCATTTTTTACTTCCCTTTCTTCTTCCTCTAGCCGGTCACCGGACCTTGGCGACTGGCCAGAGGCAAGGGCCGACAAGGTTGCGGCCTTCAACCTCGAGGCCTCCAATGAGGGCTCGAGCCTCGCTAGCCTAGCGTGAGGCTTGCTAGAGGCCGGCAAGGTACCTCGCCTCTAGCCGGTCACTAAGGTCTGGTGACCAGCTGGAGAAAGAAGAGAGGGAAAAAAAAAAGAAAATAAAGGAAAATAAAAGAAAAATAAAATGAAATTTTTTGAAAAAAATGATTATAAGTTGTCTACCGGCCTATGTGGCACGGTCAACGTCCACGTCAGTAATATCCGGCCAAAATTAGTCGGAAAGATTGAATTGGCTCTATGTCAAAAGGTTTATGACTAATTTGGTATAATTAAAAGGTTTATGACAAAATTGGTACAAATGCAATAGGTTTATGACTTTTTTGACACTTTTTTCGATTGAGGATCATGTCATTTGGAAGCGTGGAATTGCTCGATCGATTTGGTTTTATCTCAATATACCCGGGCATCTGTTCAGTAGTTAGCTTGCTACCCTCTATAAATTAGTCACCAACGAAGACAAATTCGAGAAATGGAATCCATAGGCGAGATCCTTTTGTGCTCCACGCCATTCTTATAAGTTTGTTTATCGGATGCGGCATATCTTCAGCCGTTTGAAATTGCTTGTAACATATCAATTGTTATGGTGTCACTTCAATGCTGGAGAAATTGTCCAAAGAGTCATAAACCTATTATACAGTGCCCAATTCAGTCTTAAACCTTTCACTTGTATCAATTTAGTTCTGCATCTTTTGAAAATTTGCTAATTTAGTCTTAAAACTTTTGATAATTTGCCAATTTAATCAATGCCGGTCATCTTACCTTACGTGGCGCCGCCAATAAAGGGGGATGGAGCATGTGTTGGTGCGCATGATATAATAAGTTGGGAGTGCCAGAAACACAAGAGAGAACGGGCATGAGCCTTATTTTCCGCGTTTCAAGACTCAACAGTTCGAATCACTTCCATTTTTCAAGAAAGAAGTGAAAAATTGAAATGGAAGGCCCCCATTGTACGGACCATGTCGTGTCGGATTTGGTTGTGTTGGGATGTTGCTCATGGGCCAAATTCCGTCCAGCATCAACACAAGCACCGCAAATTCTTGTTTTCGACCTCACAGTTGATATCGTCCCCAAGCTCAAACAGAACTGCCCGATTCAAAAGAGTGAGCTCACTTGCACCGGTGAATCTGGCCCGAGCGAGACAGAACCGTCCGGTTCGGACCGGGCCTCGCTTACCTAGATATCTAGTCCATTTGAAATGAAGTCGGTTTTTCTCCATACGTCTTTTCTTTTTTACCAATTGAGACCATCGGATATTGACTTACATAACGCTAAAATGACATATTCATATGCACAACAACTTGAGACTCTACAGTCTACACTACACTACACAGACTTTCCTTCTCATTTGAGATTTTCCTCTCTCTCTTTTTTTTTTTTAACTAGGTTACCGGAACCACCGGTTTCTTCCTCCTTAGTTTGCTAAGAAACTGGAAAATTTTCCCCCACAAGAGAAAAACCAAAAAGAAAATCCCAGAAAATTTTCCCTGAAAATTTTCCTTTCTCTTAAAAGGGGAGGGAAAAATTTTCTCCCCCGGAACTTCTAGTTCCTCTGTTTCATTCGCTACTCGAACATCTTGAAGTCCAGTACTTCTCGATCTCCTCCGCCGACCTCCCCGGAATCCGCCCGGCGATCAGCGACCACCTGAAACCAATCCAAAACCCCCTCATCACTCCATGACTACATGTCAAGATATCCTTTCCCTTTTTCTGAAAGAATACAGAGAGTTTCAAAGAGATGGATCTGAAGGTCCCCCCCACCTTTGACCAACCAGAGTGTACATCCTAGCTATAAGGGTCTCCTCATCTTCTGAGAAATCCAGGAGCTTCGGACCCTGACCGTCATCCCCTGCAATCCCATTGTCAAATTTATGGTCCCAGGGCTACCATCAAGAAGAGTAGGTGAAAGGAAATAACATTAAATATACTACACAAGTTCCTGATACGAAACAACTACCTCTGGAGTCCACCGATGTCGTTGCGTCGCGAGAGGAGAGATCCGAGTCAGCCATTGAAATTCTGGTGAAGCGCGAGGAACTTTCTTGCAAGAAGAGGGTCAAAACTGTTGGGTGTGGAGTTGAAACTGGGGTGGTTAAATTGAAGGGGGAGCGTTAAATAAGGGAAGGAAAGTTCGCTGAAACGAAGAAGAATGGCCGGTGGGAGACAGAGAGAGAGAGGGGAAGTCTGTGTGTATGTGTGAACAGAGGAATGGTAGTTCGAGGAAGTCCAAGTTTGATGGGTAGTTGCAGGCTCCGAGACAGAAAACAGTGGTTTTGGCTTTTGGTTGGTGGCGACTAGGGACAACGATTCTCGTACACGGAAGGAATTTTTCTCGGGCGTGACGAGCCCCGACATGTTTTATTTATTACGAAATAGTTAGGTCGATGAATGTATCATTAATTTGTTTTATATAGCTTATACCCAGTACACGTTACCGGTCCCGGGCGGAATTCGTACATAATGTTTAATTGCGACTCTCTATCACACGATTGATGTGTTCAAGTCTGTGACGTCATGTGAAATCGTCCGATTGAGACATTGAACGCCGTTTAGTGCCCCGCGGTTTTACGGCAAAACCCAATTGAATTGGATTTCGAAAGGTTGTTGTGAGAAAAGTTTATTTTAAGTCAAAATTTTCGTTTGGCACACACAAGATCAAAGCATTCTTTTGGTCAATAACCAGTGACATCCATTTCCTTAGTTACTCCCCTTTTGGAGAGGTGGTAAAGTTTCCAATGTCCCCTACTTTTATTCTGGGGTCAAAATGGGCTTTCATGAGCGAAGTTGCAGAAGACTTACGTCAGAGCACCCCGCGTTGTACGACACGCCACAGCACAAGGATGTTCGGACAAAATACAAAGCGGTCCTATTAGCATCCGCCCTTTCCGAGCAAGGCTGTCTTGCACCGCACACCATTTTTGACCCACCTTCCAAAGTGAAGAAAAATGTCATAAAACAGTATCTGAACTTTAATTTAACGTCCGACGAAGTCCTCAAACTTTTAATTTATTCGATATAATTCTTGAATTTTAGCTTAATATTCAATATGGTCAATGAATTTTTAAATTACTCAATATTATCTCTGAACTTTTATTACATATTCACTTTCCTGAACTATATGAAAATATTCAATGTAAGTTCAGACTTTATATTAAACATTTTCATATAGTTCAAGGACTAAATTGAACATATATCAAAAGTCCAGGGACCATACTGTATAAATTAAAAGCTCAGGAATCATATTGAACATTAGGCTAAAAGTTAAGAGATTATGTTGAACAAATTAAAAATACATGAAGTATATTACACATTGAATCAAAATTCAGGGACTGCTTGTCTCGTTATCCCTTCCGGTTAAGAAGGAACTAATTGGCAGCAATCAAGCGCTTCACAGATCGAGTAGGTGCTGTACACCTTCCCTTGGCATTCATGGGTTAGACAGCAATTTCTGCTATCTCTTTCTAGGAGCATTGGCCCGTGGTGACTTTTTGTCACAAGCAATACGCCATCCGATCTTGGCAAGCTGAGCAATATTTCTAGTTCTAGACTACTTAATCCCAAGGTCACCTTCCTTCTTTTTCTTGGTAATTTCTCTTTTGCCCATAAGATGATGCATGTTTCTCTCAGTCGAGGAGGAACCCCGAAGGAAATCTCCATTGATCTTATTAAGTTCATTGCAGGTGCAATTTGGTAGAAACGGCTTCAATTGAACTTTAATCTAATTAAGGCGTGAAGCATGCTAAAACGGGAGGTCTAAAAAGATCTCCAATTTCGCAAAAACAGACATATCTGCAGCCACATGTGCACGTCAAAGCGACATATGTCTTCCTCCCGTCGAAAAAAATTGCAGTTTGGAGATTGAACCGCCCTATTCTTCTCCTTGCTCGTCACCACAAGATCCCAGAATTCATTCAAAGCCTCCCATTCATATGGCAAACTACTCATAAGGAAACGACCGAAACCGTATTCAGAAAAGATGAACATGAGCAAAGGGCGGACCAAAGTAAGTAGGCACACGCCGCGTGAGCCTTACCCCTCCTAAACAGTGACCTGGACTTTGAAAATAGAATCAAAGGACTCCAGGAAATCACAAACATAAGATGCAACGAACCATCACGAATTCAGAAGCAACAGCAGAACCGGCAATAGCGGCATACATATACTATGTCGTGTTTAGGTCTCTTACCTACATCTAAATATAAAGAAAATGTTGATGGTAACAGTCAGGCGATTGAGAACATGTATTGCACACTACCGCCTCGTGGGCACATAAACAAACTACATTTAGCGATCCTGACTTCTCGACTTCAAAAACCGTGAATCTTGATCTGTTCCTTCTTCACGATCCCAGCCTGCTCGTAAGGATGACACAAAATTAAACGTGGTTCAGTTTGGGATCAAGTTAAGGTTTGATCAAAGTCATGTAACAAGGTATACCGACCTGCACAAGGAAGGTCGAAACATTTTTCCTCTGGTCACCTTGCAGTTGAATGACCTGCACCGATATATCGAATGTCTCAGCCGAAGAACATAGCAAAGAAAACTATAAAAAGACACGTGAGCCAACAGGAGACAGATTTAATACAAGTTAAAAATGGCCAAGAATGCACGTATTGTATTCACCTGGCCTAACTCGGGGTCCTGGACTACAGTTCCATTGCAGCAAAATTCTTTCTTCAGGTCCTTGAGTATCTTGTTATAGCTGAACTCCTTCTTCAGACCTTGCACAGTGGTCAAGCTTTTCCTACCATTGCGCTGCTGGACACGAATGTGGACGTACTCTTTTGACCCAGCACCCGAATCCTCACCTTTGGCATCAGCAAAAGGATCTGTCGCACCACAACACACGGATAGAAAACCGACACAAGTGCTGTTAGCCAATGAAACCACTGATCTAAAGGGGGTTGAATAGAGCAAACAAAACATACCAAAAGTAGTTGGAACCTGGACGTCGAGCTCAGACATGAAAATAGAGTAACCACAAAGGACTTCGTTCTTCTTTTAGGCTAAAATTTGAAGCTGGAAATATTGAAGAAACATACGATTAGCACGTCATTGACAACGAAATAAGAACCAATTAAGTTTGTCTTTTCATGTTGGTCAAGTCTTTAGAACGAGAAATACAGTCTATTATCTTCTAGGCCTTGATGGTTCTGAAATCGAGAAACTCATCCTAAGCATAAATTATATTCAAATCTCATTTATCCACCAAGATGAGAAAAGGGCATCAGAAAACATTTTCTCATGAACCAGCACAGAAGACTGATTACATGAAGCGTGAAAGATAACAGACTGAAATGATTATGCTGGCATAACATCAAGCTTGAACATCAACGTATCAGAGTTCCTGATGTTAACAACAGGGCAGTTTGAGGCCAACACATAGTACAATGTATAAGCCAGTGCACTGCCCACAAGCATCAAGTTCAGAAGAATCTTAGGACAATTCTAATAGAAACATAGGTTTAAATAAATTGACAGATGGAGATATCTCAATCCCTAAATTCACCAATAGTTAGCAGAACACCGTGCTTATTCTTTACATATCATGCCATGTACCAACAGAAACCAAGCAGAACAATGTAGATCATGCATAAAAATCACTTGACCCAAGAAACCAATGAATTGCCAATCAAAATCCCCCTAATAAATAAAATAACAGCCAATACCAATATTATTTGCTGTGTTTAACCAAACAAGTTATACTGACTACTTAACAAGAAACAAATCTCAACCAAGGATGACAACTAACTCGAGAAGATCTATCCACTCTCATCTCGCCAAATTATGAAGAGAACAGGAACTATCATAACTTTCAGATTTTCTAGAAAGTATGACATCACATCCATCTATCTTGAGCCAACACAATTCACTTTCATGTTCCTTTAATACTCCCCAGGTAGTTCAAGATCAAAGAATCGGTATCCCATCTTCTTGGCTTTTCAGAACTACCGTCTTCTCAAAACACTTCAATCTTATGCACCGCACCAACAAAGCAGAGGATTAGTAAATGGGCGTTTTGTTAAGTAATGAGTAGTCTCTCAAACCGGTACAAAAGCTGATCTCAGAATTTAAACATGAGGGTAGATAAAGTGATTGAGATACTATTTCATGCCTATCACTCCATTCTGTGAGCAGCATAAATCGCATCACATATTTATGCTTAACTTCTTTGGTACATCTGAAAGGAATTATCCAGCGTCAATTCAAAAAGCCTGGGAAATAATTGGTTCTATGTTTTCTTACTTCACTGAGCTATCTGAACAGGAACTGTATCAATCTCCAATTCATTCTGCACCTCTATAAAGGAATCGTTTGACAAGAATTTCCAAAGGCTTTCAAAGAATTGGTTCCTTATTTCCAACCCTCGTTCCCTTGTCTTTTAGAACAGAAGTCAACACCATCCAGTTTGTTTCCCCGACAAACTTTCATCTGATCATCCAACGATATCGCAGTAACGATAACAAGACGAATCAAATTCCACATAAGCCTGGTATTCCCCAACACAAACACCAAAAGCCAGAACAGCATCGTGCAAAAAACAAGCAAACGATCAACCGAACACCCAGATCAACACCGCACAAGAAACTGCGAAATCAAAAACAAGAAGATCTCACAAACAAAAAAGGCGCAGAATTCAGAACATACCCAGATAACCCAGATCAAGAATCGCCACCGACGACCCAAAGGACCCAAAAGAGAGACAAAAGCATTCGATGATCATCCCGATCAGATAAACGGGCAACAAGAAGGGAGATCGCACAAAGAAACTTCCAACGCAAACAGCAGATACAAAAAAGAAACCCAAATTACCTGAAGAGAGAGAGGACCAGCAATTTTACCTGGAAGTGGGATATACCGACGACAAAGGAGGAGAACCAGAGAGAGATTGAAAGGCAAGACGAAGGCTTTGGAAACGAAAGGTCGCGCCTTTATATATAGAGGGTAGAGAGAGAGAGAAGAGACGGACAAGGTCTCACCTTAGCCACACAACGTATTCGGGAATTTTTTTTTCTGTATTCTCCCCTTTTTCTTTTATTTTATTTTATTTATCTGAGGATGGCGTGCGCCTTCCTTCTTCGAGTGGGGCTTCGGGGAGAAGGGGGACGCACGGTCGGGATCACCGGGGGCGCTTCTGTCGGGTCGATCGATTGGCGCCACGTGGATGGGGCTTGGGATTGGTTACTGTTTTTTCACATGTTGGGGGGGGAGGGGGGGCCGCGATTGGGGGATTGGGGGAACCAGATGCTGTGCGTGTTGTGCCCGGTCGACAGCTCAGAGAAACACGGCCTCTTTGATATCTTTCCTTTCCCATGATTGGTGAGGGGAGGGGTGGGTAGGGGACTTGACACTATCGATGGAACTATATCAATTTATCTATTTATGCAGCGAACCGAGGAGGTTTGTGAAGGGTTTCACTTTTACCGGTGTCGAATCTGTGCTCGTTCAATCATGTTGCTCTGAATGGCGATGGTGTCGGGAACACCGAATCTAGAGACGAGCCACGAAAAGATAAAGCCGTATCAATGAATAGTGACCTCGGTGCGTGCTTATTACTGAAGGCGGATTTGGCCTGGATATGCTCTTTGAGTGTGGGACCTCTAATTTTGTTCTGATGAGTTATCTTATTATCCGGAGTTTATTTTGTTTTGAAGTTGTTTGGGATTTGTCGAATTGCACTGTTTCTTTCTTGTATTTTTTAGGAAGTGAATAAAATTTTATTTTGACAATTTTTTTTATACAACGATCATATCACTAAATTTGGTTGTTCACTCAATGACCTCAAGATGGAGGATACGTATTAACCTAGGATTCTTGGATCTAAGCAGGTTCTTAAAAGGCTCGAGGGAGAAGAAAGAAGGGGAAGAACCCCTGAAGAGGTGGGACTCCCCAATGTTGCCTCTTGTATTCCATCTCCGTCGGAAAGACAGATAGAAAGGGAATTAGGGGACCTCGGGTGGTGAAGGTAGACACAACATCAGCTTTGGTTGGCTACTGCCTGCCGGGCGAACATGTATAGTAGTCTATTGCGCCTAGAGTGATGAAGTGGTGTTTTGTCACCTTTTGGGTCGACTTGTGTTTCGCACAATGTCTATCTAACCGACTTGTCGGCTCGGTACCTGATATAGACACTGTGCGAAAGAGGATACGTATTAACCTGGGATTCTATTTGCCCGGTTAGGCCCTAGCACTATAGCATGCTGGGCTGAATCGGCCCAATTTTTAGAGCAGGTCGTGCTTGGGCTCAGAATCAAGCACTTGTTTAGCCTCTAATTTAAGCACTGCGTCGCTTGTCCATTCGACCTCGATTGCATCATTCTGGATCTGTCCACTCTTTCCGAGCAACAGGGTATCTTCATTTTCAAGTTAGTCCTGATTGTTTCATCCATTTCGATCACCTGGCTCCGTTGCCCGCCAGGTGTTTGATAAAATTTCTCACCGATTGAGACCCACGAGCGTTTTCCATTTTCATTAGCTGGAGGACAGTTGCAACGGTTCCTAGGAGACACTTTTGCCGTACGTCTGCTTGACTTTATAGCGCGAATGTGGACTTGAAAAAGCTCCGGCCGATGATTCTGAAGAGGATTGAGGGTAGGGCCAAGGATTATCCGGTCCCGGGTATGGTTCCCGTCGCGCAAGACGTGTTGAAGGCCAGGACTATGCTCATCCAGGGCGTGTCGACACTTCTCAGGTTCTTCCCACTTGCAGCTTGCGAGTAAGTGTGTGGACTGACCCTTTTTATTCTATAGAGATAGCATTGCTAGAAGAAGGAAAACGATGGATTCAGAGTGTTTTTGGTTTGGGTCTGGTAACTCTTGTTAACATTTGCTCCCACTGGCCAATGCCTTTGTTAAACATAAAAGGATAGTTTAAATTTTTCAAAGTATGCATGGCACAATTCTTAGAACAGTTAATGCGTTGAAAATGGTATGATTTCCTTAATTAGTTAGTTAACAAGTATCTCATTAACAAATTCCTTTCGTTATAAGTTGCATTTTCTGGTGTGCGAAAGAATTTGGATGCATGGAGTTGTGAGGATTCAGCAACTATTGAAAGACTGGTTTGATAGCTTCTTCCTCTTTATCCCCATTTTCCCCTCATCGTACTATTATTTTAAGCATGCTTCTCTTTACAATAACAAATATAGGTTATAGTAAAAGAAATATTGGCCGTAAGATTGTTTCTATCCAGCCAGATCACCACCAATTCACCCTGTGACATCAATGCCTAGTCTGACTTTTGGGGTCGTAATAGGTGGAAATTCTTTTCCATGCCCATGCATTTTGTATTACGCACATAGGCAATAATGGTCCATTAAATGAGTTATAGGGCCAAAGTGAAATATTACCATTCATGTTGGAGTAAAGTGTTTATGTATCAATAATCTCCTTGATTCCCCTCACCCAAAACTGGAAAAAAAGAAGAAAAAAACAACAAAATCTCATCAAGGAAAAATCTGGAAAATCAAGTCTCTTAAAAATCAGGTTGGTTGTTGCTTAATCTGATAGTAAATGAAATTAGAGTGCTCTGTGTCGTCCTGTATTATCGACTGTCTTTGCTGTCCTATCCTTCTTGTGCATCCTAATTAGTACGTTTTATAGTCCTTATTTATTGTTACCATTATCACTCAAATTGTTCATGGGGAATACTTTATTTGCTTATTTTGGAGTTTTAACATAAATAACTCCTCTGCAATCTCTCTCTATGCGATGCTTTTATACCATGGCATTGAGGACCATGATCTTCACTCCAGATCCTATTGACAACTATCCTATCATAGCGAACCGCGTCTATTTGAAAATAGGAAGCCTTATTCTCGGGTGCGTTCAAGTGAGAAGAAACCAGCAAGAAGTTTTGATGTGGGAATGGGTTGGGGAGAGAGCACGTGACATGAAAAAGAACCTTTTGATTATTGGCATGTATCTTTACTTGTTCTTAGCTTGAGGCTTGAGTTTGGTATGGTTGTACGGAATTCTTGCGACCTGCAATTGTATCGATCTGTTATATCTTTACGGTTAAGGGAGAAGCATGGAGGGGGCGAGGAAGCTGTTATCTTTTCAAGCAGTCTTTGAGCCTACAGGAAAGCCGTAATTTTGTATGTATGTTGTTTTTGCAGGTTCTGTTCGGAAGTATTTGTAGGTGAAAAGGGACATCTAATTCAGACATGTTGTGGTTAGAGGCATCGTATGAAAGATCAGGTTCGTGAATGGATCAACGGTAGCATAAAAATATTCTCGTACCAGTTGGGGCTTAACATCTTAAGATGATGCTCCAAGATGTCATAAAGCACTATCAGCAGTTTGATTATGATTGTATTCCTGCTGTTGTTGAGCTATGCTATCAGGCTGGAGTTGATTTGCGTGATGAGAATCTGCAGAGTATGCCTGAATCAGATGGTGCTCAGATTGATAGTGATGAAGCTGAAGTTGTCTCAGCTGATGATCTGATGTTGATAGAAAATGGGACTTTGAGGGCATGGGAGACACTTAGGTCTGGCTTGCAGAAGTTATTACTAGTTTACCCCGCAAAAGCCTGCAAATACTGTTCAGAGGTCCATGTTGGACCTGGCCGCAAGGCTCGGCTACGTGGGGTTTTCAAGTACCAGAGTTGGCATGGTGGTCACTTCTGGAAGAAGGCCGAGGTAGATGATCTGGTGCCCCTGAAAATTGTTTGGTTCCCTCGACATCAGGATCCTCTTGTGCTGGTGATTGAAGGACATAATTTCTATGATCATGCACCTTCTGTGGTGAGTTTGTGTGTGCAGGCGGGCGCTGTTACTCCAGCCAAGTACCATTGTATGACGAAAATCCAAGGTCAAACTACTCCTTTTCCAATCTCTCTTTGAACAATCTCTTAAGGCTTTACAATAGGATTTTGAATAATCTTAGAGGCAAATGCTAGGTCGTTGTTTGCGTATTTCTATTTCGATTATTACTTGTTTGCGCACTTTCATACATCGGTTCTTGTTTCCCTTTAGCCCGGTTAGGAATAGAACCTTGGGACTCATGATTTGCAAGAAGGCTGCTTGAACATTTTTGTTGACGATTGAACAAGGTTATTTACGGAAAGGGCACTAATTGATTAATTAGTGTAATCAAGTCCCCGAGCTCATTGAGTCTCTGGCTACTAGAAGTAAAGCAATTCTTTCACGTTTTATTTGAGTATTTAATCGATTCATCAAAAACTGATTGGTGGCGACTCCTAGATAAAATTAATTAATATGTTAATAATTTGAACTTAAGTCGCGAGTTGATATGGGATTGGGAGAGCTTGAGTTAGGTTTAAACTTAGTAATCCATTAGCCAAATTCTAAGTGGCACACTGCGCTCGGAGGTTGCGACACCCTACGATAGGGGTGTCAATGGGTCGGGTCGGGTTGGGCTTTCCTGATACCCGACCCCACCCGACCCGAAACGTAGAGGGTCGCGCTTGACCCGCCCTGCCCCTACCCAAGACCCTATTCAAGATTTAGCTCGGGAGATGGGTCGGGTAGGGTCGGGTCGCTGCGGTGCCACAACGCCAAAACATCCTCCCGCTCGCCTTTGTCCGGCGCCGACACCCTTTTCTCTCGCTTGAAGGGTCTATGGATGGGGCGGCTCCTCCGCCTCGCGCCGCCGTTTCCAAGCAGCTCCCAACTTCCGGGAGGGCATGAACCGGACGGTGGTCACCGAGTCCCCGCCACCGCTCCCCTCCTCCAACCCCGGCTCTACACGGTGATTGGACCAAGATCTACCTCGTCATGGAGCTCGCGGCGCGGCGAGCTCTTCTCCACCGCGACATCAAGCCATAGAACCTACTCCCGAGATGCTGGAGGCGCGCTCAAGGTCTCGACTTCGGCCTCTCGGCACTTCTTGAGCAGCTCGGGACGGGCTCCTCCACACGGCTGCGGGACCCCAGCCAACACCGCCCGGAGGTGGTCTCGCTGTCGCGGCCACAATGGCTCCAAGGCTGACGCCTGGTCCTGCGGCGCCATCCTTTTCGTCCTCCTCGCCGGTTTCATGCCATTTGACAGACCACAACCTCGTCTAGATCTAGGGTTAGAGAGGGAGAAGGAGAGAGAGAGGGAGTGGGGTTTGGTGGTTCTGCAACTTCTGTCTAGATCTAGGGTTTGTACGTAGAGAGAGAGAGAGAGGAGAGAGAAAAGGGAGAGAAAGGGATTTTTACGTGGAGAGAGAGAGAGAGAGAGGAGAGAGAAAAGGGAGAAAAGGGGGTTCTGAAGGGTCAATGGGTCGGGCTTGACCCTACCCTAATTTTAATAATACCTATATCTAAAAGCCCTACCCTAAAAAAGCTGAGGCCCAACCCCAAAATACCCCAAATTTTAGGGCCGGCACGGGTCTGGCCGGGCCGGCTCGGGTCTTTTTGACACTCCTACCCTACGATATTAATCATTCAGTTCAAGTTTGCCGGCAAAATTTTGAAGTAAGTGTTACTTCGGTTGAATGAAAATTAGAGATGGACTATAACAATTGGGCTTTCACAAACGTCGCCACAGTCAAAGACCATAGCACCATCATCCGTGATCAAACTAGTTTGGGAAAAGCTTTTATAATGACGGACGACCCACCGATTGAGCGACCGACATTCCATTTGGCACGACATGCTTAAACAAGAGGATATAGACATTCCATTTGGCACGACATGCTTAAACAAGAGAATATTATAGATTTAATTCTTGGATTTACGTTAATTAATATTATCCCTCTCTAATCACATGTGCATTAATCGTACCCATCTGCCACTGGTCCTCCTCTTGCACGATCCTTCCGCTAGACAATATTCAGGAGTTGTTAAAGACAGTCGAGTTTGGACTTTTCTGAAGCACGCCGAGTTGGAAACGTACTTAGACAAAAAGAAAGAAACACGTTCCGATGACCAAGATCCTCAATAATTCGACCTTTGGATATGACATAAAGTATGACCGATGGCTGCTATTCATATTCCATAATCAAAAGAAGAAAATTTTCTCTTTTTTCTGTTAATAATTGCGACCTACCTTCAGACATGATTAGAGAGAGAGAGAGAGAGAGAGAGAGAGAGAGAGAGAGAGAGAGAGAGAGAGAGAGAGAGAGAGAGAGAGAGAGATTGATTCTTGATAGCTAACACATGCATACAAAAGCTCGTCGAGGGCATCTCAATTCCATGATTACGTTCTCGTGGCATTCTTGAAATCTTTATAGTTTTATAAGGATGCTGTCGTGTTAGGTTTGCTTCGTGAGTTTGTTTAATGGAGAAGAAGCGGTATTGGATGATTTGTTTGGCCATTCCTTTCAACTGTTCCCATATTGGTTTCTTCTGATTTGAATTTTGAATTACAGCTAAGCCTCACAGCCTCCTAATGCATTGAATCTCGTGCATCACATCTAAGGATGGTCGACCTTATAGTTAACTTTGGTCCCAATGATATATTATGTAAATATTTTGCTGTTCTAACTTTGCCTCTAATGATAGAGAAATTGAGTGTTTTTAGCATAGCATATGTCTGATGTGCAAAGATTTCATTATACCATGCATGCGACTAGTGTTGCTGCAATATATGTTGATAGTATCGCTCGAGCACGGAGTTCTAATTTGGGCCTTTGACGCAACGTGGTTTATTCTCCACCTAATGACTTAAAATTTTTTTGGGCATTATAACACGGTATAGCATGTTTTCCCATCTCCCGTTCTCGAGCCTTATATGCATAGTTTTGGTGGAGCTAAAAGCATCAATTCTAGGTTAGACCTTTTAATAATATCCGTGAACGTCCAATTTCTCTCCATCCGAGTTTCAAAGCGAGTGATGAATGGGTAATTAAGATCTTGACACTTGCGCTTGCAAGAGTGTGAGTGGCATCCTGTCGTTTGTATCAATCTCTGTGTGAGCGAGTAAAACGGTGTTATAGTTATAGCTAGAGCGATGTTAGGTATCAATATTATATATCGAGAAATCTTATTGAAAATTTATACGTATTAAGTAATTCGAGAAGAACATACCGGAAGATGAGCACGTGATCGTTAGCTTTCAATGAAATATAGACTTACGCGATCACTTAGTAAACATGTTTCAATAAGGCTAGGATTTCTCAATAGTTGAATTAGTTTTGAACTTAATCATGAAAAAGAAGGAAATTCAATAAACTCAAGAACAAAGATTTATCCGAAAACAATTCTCCAATAGGTCAACTCTCTGATAGTTTACTCCCAGACATCACTGTCCAACACCAACTTATCATTCGTTGGGGCTCCATGGCATTTTGTCTTCAATATATTTTCTTTTTCTCTCCTTCTCTTGTTTATCAATTTCATAGGCTTGCGCTGAATTATAAAAGAGGCTTGTGTTGTCCTCACCATCTTCATTGCTCATAAGGTTCAACACATCTCCTTATCAATCTTCAGCTAATTAGCAATACTGCTTAGCAATCCCAATGGCTGTTCAGAAGCTCCTCTCTCTCCTGGTTTTCCAACTCATGCTCGTTGCTTTTGTCCTCGACATCGCCAATGCTCAAGGCCTCCAAGTAGGGTTCTACAAGAATACATGCCCTAACGCTGAGGACATCGTTATGAAAACGGCGGCAAGCTTCATTTCTCAAGCCCCCTCTCTCGCTGCTCCTCTCTTGAGGATGCATTTCCACGACTGCTTCGTCAGGGTACTTCGATTTTAGCGGTTATATCAACTTGAGTGACCCCGTTATCATCAATTTCTCAATTACTGCATGTAGTTTCTTTGAATCAAACATATGCACGTTGCTGCCCACATCACTAATTTTTTGCTAAATAAGTTGCAGTAGTAATCAATTGATGTGTAAAGTTCTATCTTAATTAGATAACTAGTTTTATCTCAGTAGACACATCTGCATTCCTAAAAGCAATTTGACTTTGGAGTTAACATCTGATCATCGGAAGCTTCATGTCATTGGATGGATGATCAAACTTAATTTGGAGGACACCTATGCTTTATGCAGTCAAATGTCTCGTGTTCCTGATTCGAAACTGCATGTCAATATGAAATGAGACAACAAATCTACCATAATTTTACTAATTCATGCAGAGACAAGCACCTTCACGGAGTTCAAAAGCTGATTTTTTTTCCTTTTGGCCTTTTTTTCACCTCTCTTTTTTGGGTTTATTTGCAGGGATGTGATGGCTCTGTGCTACTGAATTCAACATCTTCTAACCAAGCAGAAAAAGATGCATTTCCAAACCTGTCGCTGAGAGGATTCCAAGTCATTGACGCAGTCAAAGCTGCTCTTGAAAAAAAATGTCCTGGTGTCGTCTCTTGTGCTGATATTCTTGCCCTAGTTGCTCGTGATGCAGTTCACATGGTAATTGAGTAGTTAAAACTCGATTCCTATTGTATTCTAGCTAGGGATTTCTACAATGCTTATATATATATATATATATATATATATATCCATCATTGATGAAATTGTTTAAATCTATTTTTCAAAAAACCTCGCTTTTTAACTAGATCGACGACTCCCCGCAAGGTGCGTATCTTTAATCCATTCGCAAGATGGGTGCGCCACTTTTCCTAGGTGCTAAGTTGTAGCACTATTCGTGACAAAATCAAGATTTTCACGAATGGTTTTCGAACGAAATAGACGCTCGAGTTTTAGTTCTAACCAGGCGTGTTGACAGCTCAAACATGATTTTTCTAAATCGTCGGTTGGATAACACAGCCAATGGATATGGATTCTTCCACTTGTCACTATGCAGGTACAGAATAAGAATCTGTTATATCTTCAACTTGTATTTGGATTTTGGTTTCAGATGAATGGACCGTATTGGCAAGTCCCCACAGGAAGGAGGGATGGTAGGGTGTCTAAGCTCCAAGATGTCTTAAACAATTTGCCGGCTCCTACTTCCACCTTTTCTACACTTAAATCAGAGTTTGCCGGGAAGGGTCTCAGTGTCAAAGACCTTGTCGTTCTCTCAGGTACGAGGCCAATCATAGTATATATGTACCTAACAACATTATTCAAATTCCTAATTAGTAGTTTATAATTTAAGTACAGTGAGATTAACGATGTGGTTGCGTCGACAATAATTTAGGGGGGCACACCATCGGAATGTCTCACTGTTCCTCCTTCACGAACCGTCTGTACAACTTCACTGGCAAGAATGATGCCGACCTGTCCATGGACCCCAACTATGTCGCCCAGCTCAGGACCAAGTGCAAGCCGAACGACGCCACCACGATCGTCGAGATGGACCCGGGGAGCTCCAAGAAGTTCGACGTGGACTACTACACCCTCGTGTCCAAGAGGAGGGGCCTCTTCCAGTCCGACGCCGCGCTACTCGCCGACAGCACCACCAAAGCCTACGTGCAGCTCCAGTTGACGAGCAAATCGACATTCGGCAAAGACTTTGGCGTGTCCATGGTGAACATGGGTAACATTGGCGTTCTCACCGGCAAATCGGGAGAGATTAGGAAGAAATGCTATTTGGTCAATTGATCAATTGATTCGTTTTCTCTCATCTTGAACTTGCAAAGGTTTTGCATGTTGTTTGATATTCTTTAGTTTTTCCTGTTCTGATTGATTCGGAGGGTGGAATGTCTGTCAAGGAAAGGTAGTGTTCAAGATGCTGTTATTTTAGTATTCATTGGTATGAATAAATCGAAAATAATTGCGGAGTTGTAAGGACATGATCATGTGACTATCAACATATTATAAGCTATTGTTCATCGCATATTACTTACATTATCAAATTAGCCTCCCCAGAGCATCAATAATAGACACCACAAATCATTTCACTCACTTGACACGAATCTGGTCCACTTAATTGGTATGCTAAGAAGGAGGAATCCGTGAACAAAAGCTAACGGTGTGGGCCCGACGATATTCATTGGTATGCAAAAGCCGAGGGAAAGCAGAAGAACAGCGAAGAGAACTCTCGGCCAGAGGAAAAACTTTCATGATGATAGAGAATGAAAGTAAAGGCAAACTGGTTACTTTTTGGGCAAGTTGTGAATAATTAACTAGATACACGTCCTGATCAGCATCCCTTAATCTTCCGATTATAGAACATAATATGGCCTAAACTGGTTTAGCTATGGACTTTTCTCTCCTTCACGATCTATTTCGAGGCCACTTATGCATTTAAAAATATGGGAAAATGACACGAACAGTTCCTAAACTTTTAATTTGTTTAATGTGGTTCTTGAACTTTAACTCAATGTGTAATGTGGTTATGTAATCCTTCCATTAATTCAAGTTTAGGGACTGCATTGAACATGTACAAAAAATCAAGATACTACATTGAACAAATTAAAAGTTCAAGGACAATATTGAATATTAGGCCAAAGTTTAAGGATAACATTGAACATATTAAAAGTTCAGGGACCAAATTACACATTGGGTCAAAATTCAGAGATTATTTGTGTCATTATCCCTGAAAATGCTAAACTACAAATGTTGAGGAAAACTCCTATTGATTTTGAAGTTGACAAAACCTTCCGTATTACTGTAAATCTGATACTTATTCTGAACTATTTTATTCCAGGTATGTATATTCTGGAAGTTCAAAAGGAAGTGTTTCAGACTATATAAGCTGGCAGACGCAGAACTTATTCAGACGTAGACACAGTCGCTGAAATTATTCAGACGCAGTCGCTGAAATTATTCAGACGCAGACGCAGAACTCAGAACGAAGAATAACAGCTAGTGATCTGGTATGGATTTCACATAAGGAAAGTTTTGATTGTATTAATCTCAATTAAATTGATTGACAATCAAACATTACGACAAGTATGCATTACAACGGACAAAGCTCTACTTATGGAAACCAAGATTCTAATTGTACGGGTGACCAAAATCAGCGGGATTTAGAATCTGTCATCCAACGACTACTCAATCCTTTTTATACAAATCTGTCCAAGGTGAAGATTGGAAGATGATCCTCTGAAAGCTGTCCAACGGCTAGTATGGAAGCAGAGGAGTATTTAAGGAGATCAACGAGCAGCAGAAGGAGGTACAGAATCAAGAATCAACAAGTCCAAAGTCTGAGCATACTCCGATCATTTGTCTTGTCTTTCTGAGCCAAAAATTAAGATCTTGAGGGATATTTTGTAAGAGTGATTGTGTGAGATAGAGAGTCCTATCATACACAAGAGTGCTGTCACTCAAAATCTGTAATTTCTCTTGATTATATAGTGAAATCCAGTCGGTAGGCTGTCAGCGTGGGAGAGTGGACGTAGGCTTGCTATAAGCCGAACCACTATAAACTTGCGTGCAATTTTTCTATCTCTTATCTCTTAATTTACACTATGCACTTCAAGAGCACCGTATTTATAAACTGTCTTGAATCTGAAATTTATTCAGACTCAGCTGCGATTTTTTATTTCCGCATAAATTGATAAAAATTGGTTAAGATCGCCTATTCACCCCCCTTTAGGTAATCCTTGCTAGCTACATCAATTGGTATCAGAGCAGGTTGCTCGTTTATTGAAGTGTTTTACTTCTGAGCTAACGATCTATATGGCTAGCTTGAGTGCTCCGGGTCTCATTGAAGGACAAAGCAACAACAGACCACCATATTTCGATGGCAAGGAATATATTGTCTGGAAGAATAAGATGAAGGCATTCATAAAGTCAATTGATCACATGCAATGGGATGTCATCATTAGAGAAGTCAAGCCAAAATCTTCTGATTCAAAAGAAAAGGCAGATGCAAGCAAAGCAGCAGATCCTCCATTATCTCAAACTGAGATATCCAAAAGAGAAACTTTAGATTCCAAAGCAATTTATTCTCTCTATTGTGCTTTATCACCTATTGAATATAAAAAAATTGCTGCTTGTGAATCAGCTAAGGAAATCTGGGATACTCTTCACATTACTTATGAAGGAACAGATCGAGTTAAGGAAACTCAAATCAATCTTTTGCTTGGTCAATATGAATCCTTCAAAATGAAGCCTAGAGAATCAATTGCTGATATGTATGACAGGTTTACTGACATAGTAAATGGTCTTGCATATCAAGAACAACCAGTCCCAGATGCAATGAAAGTCAACAAACTACTGAGAGGCCTGACAAAGTAGTGGGATAATATCAAAACATCTCTTCGAGAGACACAAATGATCAAACCTCTATCAGTGAATGAGTTAATTGAAACTTTTCAATCATATGAGACTGAGCAACGGAATGAGGAGAATGAATCCAGAGGTAATAAGTCAATTGCATTAAAAACTAACATTGATTCTGATGCAGATTCTGAAGATGAAGATGTTGACGATGAAGAACTAGCTCTCTTCATAAAGAAGTATAAGAAGATGAAAATCAAAGGAAGAAACCTCAAAGGGAAGAAGCCTTTTGAGAAGAAGAAGTCTATCGATGAATCAGAGAGATCAAAGGAAGTAATTTGCTTTCACTGTAGGAAACGTGGACATATCAAGCCAAATTGTCCACTTCTGAAAAAGAAGACCAAGTTTTAGAAAGCAAAGAAGGCCTTAAAAGCAGAAACCTGGAGTGATACAGAGTGCGAAGACAGTAATGAAGATATCTCAAATTTCTGTCTAACGGCTAAATTAGACTCAGATTCTGATTCTGATTCTGAACCTAAAGTGGAAATTGAGGTAAAACATTCTGATATGCCTATTGAAGTATCAAATTATATTGATGAATTATGCTTTGAATTTAAGACTGCTCTTAAAAGAATCTCTTCTTTGAAAAAGGAAAATTCATCGCTGAGGTAGCAGGATGTTTCTCAAAAAGAAAAATCGATTTCCTTCAAAAAGAATTTCAACAAGTCAAGGAAAGTCGAGATTTTCTTTCCAAAGAAAATGTTGTTTTGAAAAAGGAAGTTTCAGAAATTACTTCCAAGTTGTCAAAAGGTTCAGAAACCTTGAAGTATATCCTTTCTATCTAAATTCCTTACTATAACAAATCTGGTCTCGAATTTGTGAAGGAAAGTGATAGCTTGATTGATTTTCCAAAGGTCAAGGAGAGATTAAGACAAAGACCTCATCGACAAGCTTATAAAAATCATTTCAAAAGGAATTTTGTCAAACCTGTTGGCCGAAGTGCACTCAGGTGCTCAAAATATGGAGATTCACAACATTTTGAGAATGAATGTCCTAAGGTCTGGAGACCTGTTCGAAGAGACTTTATTAAGACAGCCTATACTAATACTCAAGGACCCAAACAAATTTGGGTACCAAAGAAAACTTGAGATGCTATAATTTTTGCAGGTTACCACAAAGAAAAAAAGAAAGTGGTACCTAGACAGTTGATGTTCTAGACACATGACAGGAGATCCAAGCTTATTTGTTGAACTACAAAGTCTGGATGGTGGAAAAGTTTTCTTTGGAGGAAATAACAAAGGAAAAATAGTTGGCAAAGGAACGGTGGAAATTGGAGGACTCACAATCAATGATTTTCATTGGTAAAAGGACTCAACTACAACTTGATAAGCATAAGTCAACTATGTGATACAGGTTTCAGAATCAATTTTCAAGAAGATACATGCTCGGGAACAAGCAAAGATTCTTCTCAAACATTCACAGGAAGAAGACATGGCAATATTTATCTCCTAGATGTCAATCCAAACTCCACTCATTGCTTGATCTCAATCAAAGAGGATGAAGATCTGTGACGCAGAAGATTGGGGCATATCAGTATAAAACAAATCTCAAAGATCTCAAACAAGAAATTGGTTCGAGGTCTGCCAGATTTGAAATACAAAAAAACAGAGTTATGCAATGCCTGCTCTCTAGGAAAACAAGTAAGAAGCTCTTTTAAATCTATACATCATGTTTCCACTAATCGTGCTTTGCAGCTTCTTCATATGGATCTATTTGAACCAACCAGAACACAAAGTATTGGTGGTAAGAAATATTGTTTAGTTATCGTTGATGACTTCACAAGATTTACTTGGGTATTCTTCCTTGCTCATAAAAATGAAGCATTTTCATATTTCTCAAAATTTGCAAAAAGAGTTCAGAATGAAAAGGGCTATACCATTTCCTGCATTAAAACGGATCACGGGGGAGAATTTGAAAATCAGAGTTTTTCAGATTTTTGTGAGGAAAATGGCTTTCAACACAATTTTTCTACTCTATATACACCAGAACAAAATGGTGTTGTGGAAAGGAAAAATCGTTTTTTGCAAGAAATGGCAAGAACTTTGTTGATTGAAAGCAAGATTCCTTTTCATTTCTGGGCAGATGCAATTTTTACAGCATGTTATATCATTAACAGAGCTTTTCTCAGACCCATTCTTGAGAAAACCCCCTATGAGCTTTACAAAGGTAGAAAGTCCACTATTTCATATTTTCGTGTGTTTGGTTGTAAATGCTTCATACTCAAAAATCCAAATGACCGCACTGGTAAGTTTGATGAGAAAGCAGATGAAGGATTTTTCCTTGGATATTCTACTACAAGTAAAGTATACAGAGTCTTCAACAAGAATTCTCAGACTGTGAAAGAAACAATGAATGTAAGGTTTGATGAAAATATTTAGACTCACAAAGATGAATATGAACAATCTTCCAACATTCAAGAGTTATAAGAAGCTCAACAAGAATCTCCAAAGATCGTCGAATCCGCAGAAGAAGGAAAAGAAGATACACTCCAGACTCAATCAGAACCTTCAGAGTCTGATAATATTCAGAAGGAAAAATTTGACAGAAACTGGAAACATAAATCT